AGCAGCCATCTAAGATACTCCACTGGTCTCATCCCTTCGGGAGCAAGGAAGAATGAAGAGGACAGGTTACAAGGAAAAGATGAGTCCAAAGGACTAATGGACCGCAGCTACCAAGGCCTCCACCAGACTGAGTCCAGTACAGCTAGATGGTGCCCGGCTACCACCACTGACTGCTCTGACCGGGATCAAGACAGAGGGTTCTGCACAGAGCTGGAGAAGGATGGAGAACAAAATTCTAAAACACACAAAAAAGACTGGATTTACTGGCCTGACAGCGACTGGAGAAACCCCGAGGGTATGGTCCCCAGACACCCTTTTAGCTCAGTGTTGAAGTCACTTCCAAGGTTCACTGTTCAGCCGGGGATTGGACAGCCCCATAAAACAAAATGGGACTAATGAGGCACAGCAGTCCAGGGACAAGGGTTAGAAGGCAGAAGGGGACAGAAAAGCTGGTGATAGGGAACCCAAGGTTGAGTAAGGACAGTGTTGATGTGTTGTTAACCATTGCCATAGGGCAACATACGTACTAACTGTTAAATGAGAAACTATTTTGGTCTGTAAACCTTCATCTAAAGTGAGAATAGCAGCACAATCAGACGAGCGTAGTCGATGCCACTGAACTGTGCATGTAGAAATTTTTGAAATGGTGTATCTTTGGCTATGTATATTTTCACAAAAAAAAAAAAAGGTCGAGAAGGGAGAGCGTTGACCTGTTGCGGGGTTGTTAACCAATGTCATAAAACAATATGTGTACTACTGTTTAATGAGAAACTATTTGTTCTGTAAGCCTTCACCTGAAGTACAACAAAAAAAAAAAAGAGAAGTTTATTTTGAAATAGCTAGATTTTAAAAAAGAGAACTGGATGATCCCAAAAGATTATGCTCTTAATCTGAGTATTAATAAAAATGATATTAAAAATGAAAAAAAAATTTGTGCATCAGAAGACTGTTAACAAAATGAAGCAACAACCTACAAAATGGGAGAAAATATGTGGGAACCATGTATCTAATAAAAATTAAATATCCTAAATATATATAGAACTCCTACAACTCACCAACAAAGACTAGCATCCCAATTAAGAAATGGGCAAAGGAATAGACATTTCTCCAAAGAAATGTGAATAAGCACATAAAAGGTTGCTTGATGTCATTAATCGTTGTTAGGTGCCATCAAGTTGGCTCTGACTCAGCAACCTTATATATAACAATGAAATGTTGCTCAGCCCTGCATCATCTTCATGATTGTGGTATGTCTGAGTCCGTTGCTTTGACTAGTGTGTCTATCTAATTGAGGGTTTTCCTTGTTTTCACCAATCCCCTACTTTTCCAACCATGACCATCCTTTTCTAGCAATTGGTATTTCCTGATGGTATGTCCAGAGTAAGCGAGCTGAGGCAAAACCACAATGAGATACCACTTCAAACCCACTACGATGGTTATTATCAGAAAAACAAAAGAATCAGTGTTGGTGAGGATGTAGAGAAATTTGAACCTTTTTGTATTTGCTGGTGGGTATGTAAAATGGTGCAGCCACTGTGGAAAACAGTTTCATGGTTCCTCAAAAAGTTAAACATAAAATCACCATATGACCCAGCAATTCCACTCTGGCTATATACCCAAAAGAATTGAAAGCAGGGACTCAGATACTTGTACACCAATGTTCATTGCAGCATTAGTCACAATAGCCAAAAGTGGAAACAAGTATCCATCAACAGATGAATGGAAAAACAAAATGTGATAAAGCTATACAGATAGATAGACAGTGCCATAAAGAGAATTAAAGTTCTGACATTCTTCAACATGGGTGAATCCTGAAAACATTATGCTAAGTGAAATAAGTCAGACACGAAAAGACAAATATTTTATGATCCCACTTATATGAACTATGTAGAACAGGTGTGATGGTTAAGATTGTGTGTCAACTTGGCTGGGCCATGATTCGCAGTGCTTTAGCAGTTGTATAATGTGATCACTTCCCTGTTGAGATTCGATATGTGATCACCCCCATGATGGGATCTGCTGTGAGTAGCCTGCCAGTTGAAAGGGAGTTTCCTTGGGTGTGTGGCCTGCATTGAATATAAGCGGACATTCTGGCAAGGCTTGGGGGCTTTTTGCTTGTACTGGATCCTGCAACTGGCTCCTGTTCATCTGACCTCCACTTCTTGGAACTTGAGCTAGCAGCTTACCTGTGGTCTTCCCTGCCAATCTTGGGATTCGTCAATCTTCACAGCCTGTGAGCAAGAGCCCTGCTCTCTGACCTGCTGATCTTGGGTTCATCAGCCCCTGCGGCTATGTGAATCAGAAGAAGCCTCTATCCTGACCCACAGACTTGGGACATTCCAGCCTCTACAAGCGTGTGAGCCATTTCCTTGATATAAATCTCTCTACATATATTTATATGCTTTACTGGTTTTGCTTCTTTGGAGAACCCAGCCTAAGACAATAGGCAAATGCATAGAGACAAAAGTTTATTAGTGTTTACAAGTGGTCTTGGAGTAGCGGGATCAAGGTGTTATTGCTTAAGGGATACTGAGTTTCTGTTTGGGGTGATGTAAAACTTTTGGAAATAGTGGACATGATTGCACGACATGGTGAATGTAATTAATGTCACTGAATTGTACACTTAAAAATGGTCAAAATTGCAATTTTTGTTACATACATTTTATCACAATAAAATTAAAAAAATAATACTTGATTAATCCAAAAGAAGGCAGAAAAAAGTAAAAGAGAACAAAGAACAGATGAGAAATGGAAAACAAATAACAAAATGATAGACCTAACCGTATCAATAATCACATTAACTGCAAATGCTCTAAACACCTCAATTAAGAGGCAGAGATTGTCAAATTGGATTTAAAAAAAAAAAAAAGACCCAACTATATTCTTCCTACAAGAAAGATACTGTACTGGATGAACCCCCAAAATTATTATCCTGAGATAATCTTTAAAACTTAAACAGAAAACATCCCC